ATTCTAACTATTTTCTTTTTTGAATGGATTGTTGTCACTTTTTTCACATTTTAAATGATTTGTTTCTTTTATTTTTGTGTATGGTTAATAACCGAATAACCGAACCAAACCAAACCGAAACCGATAATCACCAAACCGATAAATGTATATTATATTTGGTTTGGTTTGGTTTTGATAATTTTAAAACCGATTAAGTTGGTTTGGTTTTGGTTTTGACCAATAACCGATCCAAACCAACCCGTGAACACCCCTACCTATATATATGTCTTTTCCCTTTGATTCTTGAAGAGAGAGTTCAATAGCACGAACCACGTCCTCATCCTCATCTTCTGAGAATTGATCCTGAATTCAAGTTCTACAGATGGATTAATTGTGTGTTGAGGAAATGAATTGGCAAAAATTTTAAAATCTCTGTTTTCTTTACAACTTCTCAAGAAAAAGTGACAAATTTCCCCTTGATATAGAAAATCATGAGAAAATCGATCTCATCATGTACTCATGTGAATGAATAGCTGCTTCTTAAAAGGCTAAAGAACAGATTTTTAATCAGATCTTGATGTAAAACCACATGGCAAAAATAATAAATGGTCCCTAAGCTTATTTGTGTCAGATAATTAACATGTTGGTGAATCAAAAGAAAATTTGATTTGAACTTGGAACTTAAGCTAATCTATACTCAAGGGATAAAAAAATTATTTATATACATAAAAAAAATTCCTCTAAATCTTCCCCTGACTACCAGTTTAAATTGCAAGATATGTAACACTCACGAAGATTAAAGCTAGTATATATGGACTTGCAATCAAAATTTTCTTACTAGCCTATTAATTGACATTAAGAAGCAGTTATCAAATACAGTAACAATAAAACCTGGTAAGAAGGACCTTCAAGCATGAATCTATTTGCAGACATTTTTCAAGATCAAATCCCCAAGTTGAAAGAAAAAAATTATACTGCTGCAAAACATGAACATTATATTAATACTAAGAAATATCCATGGTGGAGAAAATGGAAAATACAAAGCACTGGACATAGAAGCTATGATCACTAACCAGAGCACACGACCCCAAACTTCAAACGGCATAGGCTATTGTTTGAATCATAAGGAAGAAACACAACAAATTAACAGGGATATTAAAACATGGTTTACCTATAAATAATTTATTTAATGAATATTCGGTTGGTGGCACTTGCCAAAAAACAACAAAAGATTGGGGTACACAAAAAAAAGTTGCAACTGAACTGATCAAGTGGTAGTTTCGTGCTCTGTTTCTGGTCTTCAGAAACATTATAATATACTAACAATTGATAAATCATTTTCGTAGACTTTTGACTCTGTAGTCAAGTCTTCGGAAACTTAACTGATCAGTAAGCAAAACAATTGGAATCCAGCAAATAAACCAAGCTAAGTCCAAGAAAATTAATCAAATCCTGGTTTATACAGTTGATAACATCAACTAAATCCGCAAGTGGCATCCTTATTTCCCTTGATCGGAATAAGTCCCTACTCATTACATTTGCAGAAGATCGAATATGGTTGCACCAAATTTCTGAATATATAAAACTTTTCTTCTTTTAAAAAAAAGAAGGTAAGAAATATAAAATTTAAATAAAATAGAGTCAATTTGCAGAGGGCATTTTTTTCCTAATAAAAACAAAATCGGCTTAAATATTGATGCAACCATATTAGATTAGTCACACTAATATATAATTTAAACCATAACTTTTAAAAGTAATTTTTAAAAAAATAAAAATTGTGTCAAATCAAATAAGTTAGGAAAAAAAAATAATACAAAACTTGTTAATTTTTTAAAAAAAAATTAGCTCATAATCTTTAAATTTTTATTCCGCCACATTTGAAAGGTAATCCATCCATCTCTTTTTACTTGTCAATTTTGACTCGTCTCATCTATTAAAAAAGCAATATTTGATATAATGAATTTACCATTTTATCTTTGTTAAATAATAGAGTCTTTGAAACATAGGGAGGAGGGAGTATAACTTAAGACTTAAGGGGTCGTTTGGTGTGAATTGTGAAGGATAATACCAAATAGTATTGAGATTAAATTATAGTATCACTTTATTGATGTTTGGTTGGTACGTTCGGGATAACTTATTCCGAAATTAATAATTAGTATCGGGAAAGCTATCTCTCCCCTTGGGTGTTATAGTAATCCCGGAATAAAATAAGTAAATGACAAAAATGTCTCTTTAAACCTTTTTTATACATTACTTGTTACATTCATGAAGGACATTTTTGTAAACAAAGTAAATTGTTCTTAAAATTTATTATATCGATGGCCCCCTAAAGTTGACACTAATTTTCACTTAGACATTCCAACTAGACTTTGTTCATTTTAGACATCTCATGTCATGTTCCGTTGTGTTATTTTGACACTTTTTGTTGACATAACATAGTGAGTGTGACACACTCCTTACCAGCTCGTGGAGAGCTTATATTTAACCTATTTTTATTTTATTTTTTCTTCTTCTTCCCCATTTTAGCCACCATTTTTCAAAACTTAAACTCCTTCCACTGAGAAATAAATCTATTTGTATAACACCAAGAGATTTCAAGCTTAAATAACTTTTCTCATTTTGTTGTCATTCTTCCTCCTTGAAATGTTTTGAAAAAAAATTGAAATATATTTTTATAAAAGAAAATCTAGGAAATTCTTTTAATAGGGAACTCTTTGTTTAGATTTAAAGAATTTAGTTTTATTTGAAGTTATAAGTAAGACGAATTAGTTTTTGCAAAGAGATTGTGCTTTTATAAAATAATTCTTTTATAATATTTAAATTATATGAAAATATATTGGAGAAAGACAATCTGAATTGGGGAGAGGTTGGGGGCTGGGTGGTGGCGGAGAAAATGATTTGAGTATGGGAGGGGGTAGGTGTAGTGGATTGTGGAGAAGACAATCTGGCGGGGGAGGGGTTTGAGGATCAGGGGTGGGGTGGTGAGGAAGCCAACATAGGATGGGATTGTAAGTGGTTAATTTTTTTAAAATTATTTGGATAAAAATTGCCACGTGTCATTAAGTCATTGGCCTTTTTTTTTACTCAAAATTCATTATTTAAAAATTATTTTCAATATATATGCCACAAGTCTTTGTTTAATTCGTCATTTTGACTTGTCATCAACGAGTGTATTACACACGGCTTACATATTTGGTTGATTATAAAAAATGTGTCAAATTGACACACCAAAATATGACATAAAGTGTCTAAAATAAACTAAGCCTAATTGAAGCGTCTAAATAAAAATTAATGTCAACTTTAAAAGGTTAGTAATGAATTAAACTTAATTAATATTATCATAACTTATCTCATCATAATTAGTATCATCATAACTTGAATTCAAACCAAACCACTCCTAACAGTCGCCTTCTAGAACGAAAATACTGGTAATTTTTACTTTTCGAAATAGAGAAGTAGTTGGTGGGTTTCTTACACGTGATCAACAATACTCGAACGTTACCTACCCCGTAATTAATTAAACAAATCGCTAAATTACTTATTTACCCCTAAGCACGTTTACTACGCTTTCAAGCCCGCTCAGCTACTACTTCATACATAATCCGAAGAGAATAAATGATGATCCAGTAAAAGGTGATAGAGCCATAGCCATACTACTGCCAAGTATTCCCAATTTCCCATTTCCGTACTGCAGCAAAAAGTTTTTTGCTGGTAGATCAGTCGAAGATCTGCAATGGAGTCTTCACTACTGACATCACCGGTGGCAATTTCTCGTTTGGCAGCATCCAGAACTATCAATTGCAATTGCAGTCCTTTAATTTCTCAGTTCCACCGCCATTTTTCTACTAGGTCAACTCAGTTTGTACTGATGAGTCAACTCGCTCGGTTCCATCTTCGAGCTGTATGTAACGGTGAGGTTCGAGGTCTGAACCGGTTCGGGTCGGTTTCTCTGTCGAGAAGTTTGGCAGCGGCGAATTTACGCCCGGTTCGGAAGGACTTGCGGAGTGTTTCTGGTTCCGCAGCTTCTTTTGCAGCTAGTGGTGGAGGAAATGATAACCCCGGAGGTAATGGCGACGGTGGCGGTGGCAACGGAGATGGTGCGACGGACGGTGGTAAGGAAAATCCTAGTGTTGTTGCTGAAACGGGTGAAGATATATCTGCTTTGTCCTCTGATGTCATTATCCTAGATGTTACCGTAAGTTACTCAGTTTTATTTCTCCACTTGCTCTATGGATAATGCAATAGCTGTAGTTTCGGACCTTTGAATATTCCACAAATTTGTGTGCACATTTTTAGGGAATGACATGCGGTGGCTGTGCATCGAGCGTGAAGAGAATTTTAGAAAGTCAAGTAAGTATTCAATGGTACTTCCAACTCATGTTCTTCTCTTCAATTAAGCATCTCATGTTTATGCTGATTGCCAAAATATACAGCAGTAGACTCATTACAAGGTTTCTATTAGGAACTGAAGGCGAAGCTATTTCTCTTCTTATGTTGAACTTTTTGATTCTGTAAATCATAAGAAAATTGTTAACTGTATCAACATGATTATTAACTCTCAGTCGCGAAGGGGAAAGCTAAAATATACCGTAATCTTACTTGGCCTGGATTGTTTAATGTTTCCAACAGTGGATGTATCCACATCAGTAGACTCAAACTCTCTCTATATATTGTTTAAATAAAATTCCTACGCACACATTCTTACAAATCAAATCCGTATGCATTTTAACAAAGGAGTGGTGGGTATTGTGGTTAGAAGTCTGAATAGGCCTCAGATTCGGATCACATTGAAACATTCCTAGACAGTTGGATTCTTTAGTCGAAGACACGATTAGCTATCATAAGCCCAGAATATATTCTCTTCATGTGGAGATTCACTAGTAGTTTAGAGTGGAAAAGAAACTACCCTGAGAACTGTACAATTCTCTATGATTTTTTGGCTGTGCATAAATTACATAATTTACAGAATTGGGTTTATTTATATATTTAACTAGCCTTTTCTTCTATTACTTGTATTCCTAGTGCACATGCTTTTTGTCTCTTTTATTTGTTAGTATTTTTTCACTTGACATTATGAAGTTCTGTATCAACAGCCACAAGTTTCTTCTGCTACTGTAAATCTTACGACGGAGACAGCAATAGTGTGGCCAGTATCTGACGCAAAGGTTGTACCAAATTGGCAAAAGCAGTTAGGGGAGGCTCTTGCAAAGCATTTGAGTACCTGTGGGTTCAAATCTAACGTTCGAGGTTAGCATTTGCTTCCAGTAGTACCATTATTTTACACTATTGTATCATAGCAATTAACATAGCGATTTTGTTGAAAATCTCCAAATGTTGAATATGCTTGCACTACTAGCAGTGAACTATAGGTGTACAATGTCGGACAGGGTGCTATACTAAAGAAATAGATGGTTCATAGAAGATTCAGGAATTTTTACATCTTCAACAGTTGTGTGCTTGTTGAAGATTTTTCAAGACCAGTTGCAAATTCGCAACGTCTGTTTGGTGCTTAGTCTTTCTACCATCTCAAGGTTCCCCAGATTTGTTAGTTTTAATTAGGTCACCAGACGGTTGATACAAAAACTTAACTTGATCCCTTGGCCTTATTTTTGTAGAGCAATTTAAGAGCAGCCAGACATTGTTTCCCTGTTTTTTATTAGTTTGAGGTGAGTCATAGTTTCACACTATTGATTAAAAGGAAGGGAATACCCACTTGTGGGATCCCACTGGGCATCTTGTTGTTGATTAAAAGGAAGGGAATAAGCTATGAACTAAAAATACAACTGAAACCCATCCTCTGTCCTTCCTCTTCCTTTTTCTTCTGGGGTTGAATGATATTGCTTTTTGTCTTAAGAGTAGGAATTTAAATAATAGTATACTTATTTTGGTCCGTTAGCTCCTCTTAAATTTCAAGCAGATCAGAGAGTGCAATACACTTGGGGTTTTTGTTACTTATGTGAAGCTTGGTGGGTAATTGACAGGTGAGGGAGCCATTGAAGGGGAATTTCCATCATGAAATGCAAAAGCTTTCTTGAAATGAGCAACCATTGTCCTTCATGGTATGTCCCTATTATATTGACTAAAACCCTTCTCAGCAGCACCTCTTAGTCACTTCTCCCAGTATTTGATGAAATTAGAACATATTAGGTCCAAATAATGATTTTGATTTTGACAACAAGGTCCTTTTCATCTTTAGGTGAGAGTTTCAGCAGCAAGAATTGGTGGATATGTTGAAGGGAGGAATTTCTACGAGGAGGCTCATGCATTTTGAATTATTGTACCGAGACAAGTTTATAAATGTTATTAGTTAATAGGACCTATATTTCCATAAAAGTTTACTGTAGTAGTTCAGGCCGGTGAAGACATTAACTTTAAGGATGTGCCAGTTGTGTCCTTCCTTGTATCTTTCCCATTTACTATGAAAAGGGGATCTTTTAGATTCTGCAATCTGATATTATGGTGAAATTTGCAACTGTTGTGAAATTTCTGTTGTGGCAAGATTATTTAACTTGTTAGCGGGAAAACTTTGGTGAACTTTAAAATTTTACTGTGATGATGTAATGTGTTTTCTTCTCTAGTCGTTAGACATTAC